TGGAAAATTTATTTCGAAAGAGCAACAGATAAAAAAAAATACAAAGACTTGGGGGAAAAAAAAGGAAGGGGAACAAAATGTTTATTTGGACAAATTAGTCCTAGCCTGGTATCCAACTTGTAGTTTCCCTCTATATATGTCTTTTCTTTTCCTCTTCTCCTTGATGGTTAGTATTTAGTCGTTAGCTCATACCTTTCATTATGCGTCGCGTGTTTCAATTGAGTTCCGCTTCATTTTTGGCTTCTGTTCGTTTATATGGTACCCGCTACTTTACAGATAGCCATGAATGGGTGGAGCACGCTGATGGCGTTGCCACTATTGGCATCACAGCCCATGCACAGGAAAGTCTTGGTGATGTGGTATATGTTGCCCTTCCGAATGTGGGGGAACAGGTGAATGCAAAGGAAGTTTTTGGCGAGGTGGAGAGTGTCAAGGCCACCAGCTGCATCTATTCTCCTCTCAGTGGTGTCGTTGACGCCGTAAATGACAAGGTTAAGGATGAACCAGCTCTTATTAATCGTTCCGCTGAAGGCGAGGGTTGGCTTATCAAGGTGAAATGCAGCGAAATCCCTCAGGGTTTGATGACTGCTGAAGAGTACAAGAAGTTTATTGACTAGACTACACACATATGTGAAACAGACAAACAAAAAGGAAGGATTGTGGTCATTTATTCTTTGTAAGACGTCACACACACATAAGGGGGGAAAGATGAGCCGAGATGCGTGGGTGGGGAGCAGATGCGTAGAAAGGAGAATGTGGGTTGTTAAACTGTTGTAATAAATACGCCACCTTCTTTTTTTTCCCCCGCTCAAATTAAGCCGAAAAAAACTCAACGAAATTCAGGGGGGGGGGGAAACTGATTATTAGCGAAGATTCTAGGGGGCGCGTTGGCGTGCCCATTTTCTTGTTTTCCCCAGGTGGGTGTGCATGTGGGAGAATGGCGTGTTTGGCTCGCAAGGCGTTCGGGAGAAATTACAATGGTATGGGTTATGAAGTCAATGCTTCCTACATTTGCCCCCTCTCTTCCTTTGTTTTATTGCTTCCTTCTTTTTTTTTTGTCCTTCTGTTGCTTTTTGTGTGCTTCTGGATCTTTATTGTTATTATTACTCCTGTTTTTCTCTGGTCTACAGTTATGGTGGCATGTCCCGTGTTGACGAGGCACGCTTGTATAGTTGGAGTGCGGACCTAGAGAAGCGTGCTGCCGCAGTTCGTTCTGCTAGGTCAAAACTCGAAGACAAAAAAGCTGCTTGTATTCAACTGGAGGCCTCACTAGTTGAGCTTGCCAACGAAAATGACGCCAGTGAGCGTCTCTTGGTTCAAAAGGAGCACTATATTGCCTCTCGCAAAGCTGTACTTGAGCAAGCCAATACGCAGCGAAGCGCTCAGCGAAACTCATTAGATGGCGAGAGAAGGAAAGTGATCATCGATGTGGAGCGAGTGGAAAACGCCCTGGACAATGACTGGCGTGCACTTGAGGAGGAGGAAAAAGCAGCAGAGTTAGGTCACCATCAACGAATGAACAGGCTTGAGCAGCAATTGGAAGACCTTGAAAAACAGGAAGGTGACCTTGTTGAAAAGCTTCGACAACTTCAAAATTCTGAGTTGGGGGCATCAAATCTTTTGCGTCAGCTTAAGCAAAAGGAGGATCGGTTGAGGTCATTGTCGGAGGCAACATTGCAGCAAATGAGAGCCGAGTTACAAGAGCGTGAGACACTTTTGAATCAATAGC